ATGCGAAACAGAAAAATATGTCGAGTATGAAAGAATAAAAAGAATCTTCGTAAAAAGATGAAACACAAAGAAGAATCTTGACAATGACACGGCACAGAGGACCCCATGAGAACACCCGAGAAGAAAACTACCCTCAGGAAAGAAATTCAACACAGAGAAAAATGTTGACAATGACACCACACAAAACACCTCATCACATCATCCCAGAGGAAAACTACGGTCAGACTAGAGAAGCAACCCCCAAGGAAATGTTGAAAATCCTACAACAGAGAGAACCTCATCAGGACACCCCAGAGGGGAACTATCGGGCGGAATGGAAGCAACACATAGAAGAATCTGCATAGTCAAACAGCAGAAGAAACCAGTTTTATAAAAATGGCACGCAAAAAAATATATTCAGTACGATGCGGAGAGATGAATCTTCAAAGAAGAAAATGCCTAACCAAAATGATTCTTCACAATAACGCGTCAAGAGAAAACAAAACTCGATAAAGATGCAACAGGAAATATCACCTTAACGAGGATGATACACACATGAATATCTTCATATTCACGCAGGAGAAAGAAGTGACCAGACAGAGATGTCACACGGAGGAAAATACTCATAATCGCATGGAAAATATAAGCATCCTTAGAGAAGTGGCACCCGCGAGAGATACATCACAATGCCGCGGCAAAAAAATCAACATAACAATCACGTGACGAAGGGACTGCACAATGACACAGCAGGGGGGCATTATAAAGATGCAACAAAACGAAACATCTTCATGAGGAAGTTACAGAGGAAAAATTGTCATAAAAATGTCAGCAGGGGACGCATCTGCATAAAGAGGCTTCCGAAAGTGCCATCATAAAATAAATGGTACACAAGGAAACATCTTCATATAAATGATGCGGAAAAGAGCATCAACATAAATGGAACCCTTAGGAACGTATTGTTAAAGAGATGCCAAAGAAAACTGCATCTCCGTAAGAAAGTCAAATAAAGAAGTCTTTATAATGAAACAACACAGAAGAGAGCGTTCGCAAAAATTATCCCACATGGGAGGACTTTCGCGAAAATTAGGCCACATAGGAGTGCAAATATAGAGAGGAAGTGCCATGAAAAAGCTACTCTCATAAAAATGCAGAAACATGAAAAAACACACTCATAGGAATGATACAACACGAAGGTGCATCGACAAGCACTATGCAGCATGGAGACTCATATCCAAAGAAGTTGCGATATTAATTAACACACTTATAAAAAGGCAGAAACATGATAAAACATACACAGGAAGAATGCAAACTCCGGGGGGATACTGGTGAAAATATCGAAACATCAAAAAACACACTCACAGGAAGTATGGGGCATGGGAACCCATTCATAAAAATAAGATAACTATAAAATGAGCCATTTAGACACAACGGCGCACCATTTCACGCTCTACCCATTTGATCTGCATATCTCTATTCCATTCCACTCACAGGAGTTCCCACAGAGGGACATAAACACATTTACTCGCTATATCAGCCCTTTCAATCATATGCAACACGCATTTAATGTTCAATATGAAATTAGAACTGATATTATACCAGTTCAAATTCAACAGTCTATTACTCCCTTTAGATATGCATAGATGAGACATGTTCTGAACGATCGTGTAATTCTAGGGGGAACATCTCTATGCCAAATGAACAATCTTCTAATTTGAATCTACATATACTGGTAACCACGTTTTCCCTGTGCTTAAAGATGTTTAATCCTCTGTACTATTCCTTTTCATTTCGGTCGTTTTTCTGGATATCCCTTTTCTGTAGGACGCCATATGGCCATTATAATTCACGAGGTTAACACTTCTCATTTCTATGACTGATGAACTGATCCCATATCAAGCAGGGAAGAGATATACATATATGTATGTATATTTATGGGTATATATATCCTCCATCGTAAGGTGTAAAGAAGTCAACAAGACATAGGCCGCTATCAGTAAATGATAGCAATGTATAAAGTGATGTAAACTACCTGTATTTCTCCGGCGTATATCCTCCTTAAGTGTCTCAGAATTGATGCATCCCTAGTCCATATCCATAATGTAAATTGGCTTAAAATTTGGAAATGAGGAATGCTGTATATTCCTTTTTTAGTTCACTACAGCTGAGGTTAGCCAGAATGGAAAACTCGGTTATACTCACACATATATGCTCTTCTCATTTCCTCTTCAGGATTCAATACGGGAATGTTTCCTTAATTTCTATGATGTATTCATTGTAATATATTATAACCACCCCCACAATTTCTTCACTATCTTTGCCCGCTCGCGTATTATATATATCTGGGGGTAATCACAATCAATTCGTGCATCATTATTCCTGTCATCACCTATCGATTTCGGTTTGGTCCCGATTGTCATATTTTCATGGCCCTGTACCCCCCTTTGCTTTACATACAGAAGTAGTATCTGTATTTTTCCGTTGCTTTTCTTCTTAAATTTTACCCATAATAGCTAATTCTCTTGACCAAATGAATCAAACCGCGTTAGCACATTTCTAGTAGTGAATGACTCGCGTAACAGGACAAGAGGAATTCTTAAATATAATTATTGCAATATCTGGTCCTCCTCACATTCTATTGTACGCTGAAGAATGCTTAATTGCTACTATTCACCCGCGTACTTCTTCCCATTTAGTCAGTCTCCTTATTCAAGATCGATTTCTGCTTTAATTAATATTAAACTGATGTAGTCACAAATGTAAAAGTTTCATTAAAATCATCATGATCTGCTCACCTAATCTTTGGCCTCAATATCCAAAAGGGGATATCCTGTAAAGAATACCAGATTCACATCAATGGGCGCGATTTTATCAAAATGAAGAAATATGAGGTTCTTCAGTTAATTATTAATTGAATGCTTAGCAGAAATGTTTTCCACAGCTGTTGTCTCATGGTAGCCAACTTTGTATCCTGAGAAACCATTGCCTCTTAGGTCGCCTTCCAGTCCATCCGTATAGTTTCACGCGGCAATCAGTACACATAAATAAACGACGAGTTCAGTATCGCACAATCTATCAGGAAACAAAAGAAGGAAACAAGCAACAAGAATTTGGAAAACACCTCTGAAAAGAACTCTCCTGTAAAACTCACGATATGTACGATATCAGCATTATATTGTCATATGTGGGTTATTACAATGTGCAATATCCATTCCGGTACACCGCCGTGTGGGGCGTGTGCTATTATATTTTCTTAGAAGCAATATATTAGGATTCTTCCACTTATCAACAATATTACCACACGCACACATATATATATATATATACATACGTATATATAGATATATGTACCATTATACGGGTAAAGGAGAAATTACTAAAGTGTGCACTCATATAAATATGCGCTTCCAGTCCTACTAATTTCTAAGGTTCCTCATAACTCTTGCGCTACATAGGAACGTCGACAGGAAAAAAATGATGCCCCTCAATAAACATAAAATCTTACTTATAGAAGAGTGCTCCTTTTTTGTACAAAAGAAGACACATAGACGTTCCGAGCAAAACGCGTCTGCAAGGGACATGCCACAAGATTCCTCCTTCCATGTGACCACCCCAGCTGTTGGAGCTTCTTTTAGGGGGTTTTTTCCTTCTTTCATGCATAGAATGTGACCATAGATCAACAGCAACAGAAAGAAATGACTTTCATCCTTAATAGAAACAGGAAGAACATTCCAAGTATGTAATTTACACTAATGCTACAGCTTGAATGCAATCGATTTGTCAATATTCTCCCTTACTTTCTTCTTTTTTCTATTCTGTCGTGTGTAGTCCTATCCATAATGGATTATATGAAGTGCCCATCTTTGATGTATATTTAAATATGTGTCACAGTTGTCAAATTAGATAGACGTATAAACCATGCATGCCATATTAGAACTTGTCTGTTTCAGATTCCTATAGATAATTAAAACTCCTTTCATTCCTATAAGACGCTATCCAATGCGTGTTTATAAGAAGGAAACGATTTATTATTAATGTGATCCTCAAACAGCAAGTATTATCAATACCCATTACTTCTGTACATCATGCAGAAGCACATGTCATATGAAGGCCTCCACGCAGATATGTGTTGTGTACTTTCGAACATCCTCCCTTTATTAGAATAAATAAATATATACACGTCGACATTGTCTTAATCTCAAAATTTATTCCATCCATATGCAACAACCAAATCAATATACTCCCTCATGAGTCACGGAGTACTTTTCGCGAGGTGTTATGTAAAGAACATAATATTTAACGTCTGAATGGCGGATTTATGTATCCTTTCATAATGAAGCGATGCGATTCCTGTGGTAACGCGAATGCAATTGTATTGTCCAACTGTTTAAAACACATTTTTCCTGTTATCCTCGCCTGGTGATATAATTATGCGATGTTAACAGCAACCTGCATGTTCCCCTTAAGTAATTCGCAATGGTGCGTTCGTCAGTGTCTACTTCCATGTTCAGAATGCATATACGATTATTGACAGTTTTCCTGTATAAACACATTTAAACCTGTTCATATTTCCCCCTATACTTCGTCCTTGCGAAAAGCGTCGAAACCCTATCTCAGTGTAAAGGAGAATGGATGGGGAAACAACAAAACAGAAAAAATGCCGCTTGGTATTTGTACGAATCAGCTGGCACACATAAAGGGCATCACAAAAAGAAATGTTCACCCCTTCCATATTATCAGAAGAAACCCTCTCCAACTCTAATTTGTTTTACACAATTCCCTCCTAATTGGAATCCTCTTTGCTGTTCAAAATTGTGCTGGCAACATAATCTATCCACATTCACTATCCTGAAACTGAATTCTCCATAAATATACGCTCCCTATGATGCTACACCTTACACGTTAGACAATACCACAATCCGTGTACTAAGGACCAGGCACCATCCAAGTAATTGCGGCACGCACCAGAAGAATGTAAAGTGTCAGCTAAACATTTGAATATAATACAGGTTACATAAGGCTATTTATGCCATAGACGAGATAATGCTAGCCCGGCCGCAGCAGGGGGGAGGAATTCTATAATAGGACTCATCACTCCTCTGTCCGTCCTTCAAAATGTCCACAACAATAGATTCATTTATGTAATGAATTAGTGAAGAATAATAAAAAATCAGTGTTTCACATGGTGCGGACACCATAATGGGGGACTGTTCCATATTACTCAGTACTCCGTAGAGACTATATCTGCATACATTCTTCTCTTGTGGTCCTTCTCCTCTGATGAACTCCAGTATTAGGTATACATAGAGTAACCGTGACATATACATCGTAATAAGCAAAATATGGCACACGGTAAAGCGTTTCTTTTCTTTCTTTTTTATCGCATCTTCCATTACATGATGCTCTGTGAGAATTTCTAAAAGGATTGAAATGAATGAAACATTTTTTTCCCGCAACAGGACGTTTTTGTACACTTCACTGATTTTATGGCCTGTTTTTCTATTCTGTTGCCATGCTATACGGAATATAAGAATTATTCAGTCATCTTCGCTTAGTCTCAGATTCATAAAATAATTCTCCAGAAATTATATATAAAAATGAATTTATCTCGCATATTATTCCCAATTGTGGTCCTACAGGTAATATCAGACAGACCACGGGGGTATATTCTCTGTGATTCACATCGTTCAAAACACCATGTCAAGAGAGTAGTTTTCCTTCATAATATCTCAACCGTGCGTGAGATTCGCCCATATCTAAAGGAGCACCCATATGCTCCGAACGAGGAAGAACTTTTTCGAACGAAATTAAATCCCATAATATACGCCTTCTATACAGTTCAATGACACCACATGATATATGTTATACTTAATATTTTGCAATTCTTTCTTTTTCATCGCACACGCACGTTTCCCGTTATGCATTATTAACAGGGTATCATTGCATATGTGCTTACTCTTATAGCGCGCAAAAATAGTTTCCAGAAATACCTTAAGCAGTTTAAGATCAGGAATAAACGGGAACTAATGTATCAAGAAAGACTGAATACGGGAAAGGGAAAAGGACGGGGAATTTATAAATATCCTCCTCCCATTAAAAGGCTCCTTATGAAATTTATTAACTTCTACCGGAATTTACATGTAAGGGTCACTCTAAGAAACGATTGGCATCTTCCTCATTTATTGTACTCTGATATACTTTCCTCAGTCCTTGTGTAACCACAGTTAGCACCACGGGTAGGGACGCTTCATTTGAGGACATCTGTGAGCATCTCTTTTCTTTTCCAATTTATACACATCACGTCTTGCACTCTTCAAAAAAGAACACTATATTGTAAATAATACTCATTGCAATGCATTCCGTGAAGCAGAATATACTAAATAACTTCATATAATTGGACTAAATATGTGTTACTATTTCCTTGCAATCACTTTGCATCTATATTGGAAAGGACATTTTTATAGCAGAACTCAGCAACAGTAGCTACATGTCCACAGGGTACTATGTCTTCGCGTCCCGTCCAATTAATATAGAGCATATCTGAATAGACTCCTTATAGCGTAATCTAGAAGGAAATCCCCAAATCCTATCGAATGGTTTGCCAATCTGAGGATATATCCCGCTCAAAATTAAAAAGTAGAGATTCTTTATCTTGTCTTCCTTAATGCATAATTCCCTCATTAATCCTCACCTAGGTCCCCAAAACGTTATGCATGCTGCGATATACATAATACAAAAGATAAAAACAGATTCCAATATAACTATAGAAACAGTGGTACTGAGGCATACAACTTAAAATTGTATTATTAGATATTACAATTACTCAGTACAGACATGAACGGTCCCTAATGGTGTCCATTAATACTTATGGTATTCTCTCTCTAAATCAAATGTATATCTATACAGTGTTTATGTCTTGTAGCATAATATAACATTATGAATATCCTCTTTAATAGGATCCCCTTCTTAGAGTAAAACCTATCTTTGAGTTACTACCAGAATTTAGCACCTTATTGTATACATATGCCAACGGCATTACTCCCCATTTGAGAATCGTTTTTCACATTAAGGAACAGTAGCGGCTCCGTACAGTATGCATATTGACTTTGTTAGTTCGGAATTTAGATAAGAAGCTTCATACTTCTCTAGAAGCTATTTAATGGAAAGAATGAATACGCTTCTTATGCATAATAAAATGTCAGTACAACAGTGAATGATTGAACTGATCCATAAAGATCTCTCAGAAATAAATATAGATACTTCCATTAATAATTACATTAACGCGCTCAGATAAAATATATTAATAAGGGACTACGATATCCTTCCTAATTCCTAATAATCACATTTAAAACCAATGTCACTATTCTTCCTACGTAAACGACATTTGCCTTTATGTAATGTTAGGATAATAGTCTATGCAAGGCATAATTAAGAAGTACTGAAGGCATTATACAAAATGGGGATATACCTGTTCATATACTATCATTATACTGAGGAGTTCATTTTAGTAAAACGAACATACACCATAAGATTCTTTCAACCCAATGATTGTCTCTTATATTCTTATTTGACCAAGAAAGACGCCCCTTTCTTTCCTTAGAGGGGGGTTGATTCTTCCTCTAAATTTCTTTCTAATTCTCATAGAAGCATTCCTCTATACGCATACAGATACATATACCAAGTGAAGATCGCAAATTGACAACCAATAAAAAACATTTAAAATATTCTTATGAGAGATTCGGAAGACATTTTCTTGCAAGTTAATAATGAACATGCTAAAAGCCACATTGCGAATAATTATCTGCCTCCCTCCTCAAACTGGTAGCAATAAATTACTGATACCTTCGCGATTTGACACGTAAAAAATCAGCCGAATAATGTCTGCACAATGCGAGTATACAGTATAATATATCATAGTCATAGATATAATTTTATAGAAAGAGCATTTTTATTCAGACTGCACCTAACATTAATACAGGGAAGTAATCTAACAATTCCGATATAAACAGTGGATTGTTCGGGATGAGATTATAATCGGCATATACTGTAAGTATAAATATCAAATTTCTCGATTCTGTATGAACTATGGGGATGATGCGAACTAGTTGGCGCTATTTAAATCTGTGTATCTAAGGAAACAGCTAAATTAACACCGCAATATTAATCTTCTCCCATTCTGACACCGTTTCATAGATCTGCTTGTAGGGAAACAGTAACGAAATCTATACTATTTATTTCACTCCCTTCCCCTGTATTTAAGAGTGGTGATATATTAGTGATAAACTCTGTTCTGCATGATAAAACATAAAATACGAACAGTCATAGTATGAATATATGACAGTTGTGCCTGAATAGAAGTAATAAGCATGATATCTGTCACTGTGACTTTTATTATCCTCAGATAAATACAAGGGATAATTTAATGGACGTCACATATACATCTAATTCCTATAAACACACAAGCGTTCCAACACACCAGTGGAATTCATAACCGACAACATATTTCCTCTAAGAGTGGATGAAGGAGTTTTGCAGTATTGTCCTATAATCGCCTGTACTCAAAAGTCCATTGTAAGAATTCCTTGTAGGAGCAAAAAATCAAGTGATAAATACAAGTCATTCAACATGTGTTGCCACATTTCAATAAAAAAATTCAAAGAATCGTGAAGCAACAAACGTGTTGTATACCCCTTCCATAATCACCATATCATTAAAGAGGACTCACAAGTCACAGAAGCAAATAGCAACATACACATTCTAATATGAAAGAGAACCCATGAAAAGGAGATCTTACAACAGTATGGATTAACATTAATATAGATGAATATGTGCTCTATAATTCAGCGCGTCATACCAGCCTGTATAACTCCACGATTTTACAAATATATCCTATAGGAAAAGGATGGGGATAAGACAGCCAGGAAAATGACCCTAGGTCAGTAAGACTGTTGTCCCTGTGTATATATCTCAATACACGAAACGAACAGAGTCAAAACATTCATTGTTCCGTATGTTTATATTAACAAGCTTAAGATATATTGAATATGGGCAGAATAATAAAGAATCTAAGAATATATCTCTTATTCTATCTTCCCAGACGCCTAAGAAGAGACCATAAAGAGAAAGTAAGAGGAAGCGCCTTAAAAGCAGCCAAAGAGCGCACGATTACCACAGGAAGAAGGAAATAATAAAGTAAGTCGGAGGGGAACAAACACCACCTGGAGAAGCAGACTGGGGAATGATGCTTGTGAGGCGCTGCTTAAAGTCCAAATTGTAAATCCGGATCCGACAGCATTAGATGATAAACCGTAAAGAATAAACTTTAGAGGCTGAAGACACAGCCAGAAACAGCAAGGATAAACCTTTAACCATAGAGCTTGCAAAATAAATCATACACCACAAGGACTCGACCTTGAAAACCAAGGAATACAACACATATCAAAACCTTAAAAAGTAAAAAACAAGCAATACAGGATGGCGCCCCAAATTAATACCTGTAACAACTACACGTGATGCCTAAGGCAAAGACCTTCGGGGGGATACCCTGAAGAATAATAGCACCAAATACACAGGAAAACCTTGCAGCATGAACCATAGCACCTACACCTGAAGAGTGCACAGTATACAAACGGTATACACCTTGAATCTAGGGCGTGCGAGGACCACCCTACACTTCATCAGACACAGATAACAACTAAGGGTATTCGATCAGTCCTACACACTAAGACTGAATCCGCAACCATGAAATCTGAGCCGTACACGGTCACCATACGGCAGAGAAACCAGAGGATAACAAGATAAAGAATAACAGCAAAAAGCTGAAGTATGAAAGCATATGTAAAAAATTGAGCGTAGGAAGAAAAACTAGGGGCTGCCATTAGAAGATGAGCCACAGGCCTCACTCATAAACCGTGGGGGCTGAGCCATGAAGTATACAGCTTACAGCCGAGAAGATAAAACCGGAACACCACACCCTAAATCCTAAAAACCTAAGCATGATCAAAGTAAAAAAGACGCCTACTCAATGAATCTTACCCGCCTAAAATAAGTTATCGGACAATACTAATAAGCAGTGACAGGTAAAAAGAGACTACCAGCAATACACAACAGCGTGGAGGCGTAAACATAGATGATAAAGCCTGAACACTGCACTCAAGAGTGAAACCAGGGGGATAAACAATAGAGCATTAATCCTGAACCTTAAAGAGTACGGAGTGAATAATAAAACCTGACAGGCCCCCACACCACCCTAAGCCAACAGCTCCCTGCAGTGGATAAACCCCGGCTGAAAGAGGTGCTTACACCCTGCAACCTAACTACATTAAATTGAAGCCAAAGAACCAAGGAGTACAGGTGAGACATATAGAGAGAAATGTACTCTTTAAGAGAACTC